GCACACACACACACACACACACACACACACACACACACACACACACACACACACACACACACACACACACACACACACACACACAACCACACACCCCCCCCACACACACACACACACACACACACACACACACACAATTCTGTTTTCATTTACTCGTTCGTTATCTGACCAGCTTCAATCTTGTAGGCTACTCACTTCGTTTCTTGTAGCCCTCGAAAAGGGTTTTGGAGGTTGATGCCTCGCTGAGCGTGGGTCGTTTGGCTTTCTTGTCCGCAGCAGCAGAAAGCATTTTCGAATGTTTGAATGAATCAAAGTGGGTCGTCACCGTCGATTTTCTCTTATGCTCCAACACACAGTTGCACGGGGTGCAGAATAGTTTCCCCCCACTTTTTGCCCGGTCTTTAGTAGAAATGTTCGTCGGTAAATGAGATGGATTAGATTTTTTCATCTTGGTGTTTTCTCTATCGTGTGAGCTCCACACGTTCACTCTATACGGTGTTGTTTACATTCTGTGATGCGCGAGCTGATGACGTCACGACAAGACGATTTAACTTTTTTTTCCCTCAATTTTGTGTGGAAAAATGCGGAGATTATGCGGCCTTTTGATAAATATGCGGCATTTTAAAAATCTGCGCCATTTAGCTGATTATGCGGTAAATTCTGCGATCGCAGAATCGCGTTTTTCTGGAGGGTCTATCATATGTGTCACAGGCTAAAGGTTTAGTTCTACTATCACTATGATCTTTTTTGATATTAAGCAGAAACCACTGTACCTTATAAAATACTGATTCTGATGTGATGATTGTAGCAACTGATTCTGGTGCTTTGATTGGCTGAGGAAAAGGAACACACAGAGTCAAATACAGAAATTCTAAGGAAAGCACAAAATCTACAGAAATAACTGCATTCGCTGATGAAATCTTACTCTTACTTACATTTTTGAGTTTGAATATGTGTCTTCTTCCCTTTCCTTTAGTTGACACCTTCTTCTCAGAGGCAGGAGCTTTGTACTTGGTGCTTCTCAGCCGTGCCGACCTCCTGTGGATCTCCTGCTTGGACTAAAAGCAACACAAAAGATTAAGCTATTAAGATAAGACTAAGCTCCATTAACTGTTTATCTATAACAAATTACTAATGATTATTGAGTAATTGATTGGTAACTGTGTCTAATAAATATGAATTAAAACAAATGTAAACATCCAATTTAAAGATTATATAAAACAAAGAGGGGCAGATTACCTTTTGACTTTCCCAAAAATGGAACAAGCTTATGTTACGTTTTTTTCCCTATCGGTCACAGTCTGTTATGCTGCTGTTCCCGTTTATGCCTGTTGTGTTTTTCCTTTTAAAACATTTTATTTATGGGGACATTCAGTTTTTTGCCGAATACATTTTAGGGTAAAAAAAACAAACAAGACCAAATATAAAGATAAAGTCAAGTATTCGGTCTCTCACAACAAGTTGAGTAAGTATAAAATAGATAATGTGACGGCCCCAGAGCCTGGGGCCTGTGAGTGTGTGAATGTTGTAGGTCCTGCGATGGGGTGGCGCTGAAGAGGCCAATCAGTGTGATCGGGGACAACTGGCCGGAGGTGCTATTTAAGCCCAGCTGCCCGGAGTCACAGGGCCGTCATGACTCTCTCCAAGCCTGCTGCGGAGGGACTCCCACCGTGATCCTTTCCCCTTGTCCATCCTCTCCTGTTTCAGTATATTTTCTTTATTCAGAAGTCATCATCGTCGAGGTAAACGTCGAAGGCTTCTCGGTTGCAGTTTCCATCGGGGGTGAAGACGTACTTATGGAAGGTCCCGTCCACACATATGGACTGGGGTCTGGGAGTACCTCCGTCACTTGGTCCACATCGTCTCCCGTGCTCGGCCCTCCTTGCATCTCTGCCATGAGAACTTCCTTCTTACTCAACGCCTCTGCAACCGGAAACCGCCTCCCGTTGAGCAGCGCCTGCATGCTAAATCTTCGGTTGTGCGGGGGTCCCGACTGGTGGAGGAGCTGGAAATCACAGTTGTGTCCCAGATACTGGGCGTATTCCATTAGGCTGCTGATGGGGTGGAGCTGAAGAGGCCAATCAGTGTGATCGGGGACCAATTGTGAAGCTGACAATTGAGCGGCCCGACCAAGCAAGGAGGCAGAGGCAGAACATCCAAAATATAACCCGGTGTGGGCATTTATTAAATCATAAAGCACAGGACACAGCCTCAATCTTGCTGTTC